TTGTGCCAGTACCTCCGCCGGCTTCTTCTCGAGGCAACGCAGACTGTTGTTCCAGTACTGAAACCTCCATCCCACCGCTGGGTCCCGCCACCCTAGATCCATAACCTTCTTGGCCAACGCTTCGTCCGTGCATGTCTTCCCTAGTCTCACCCCCAGCTCCACAAACGAGCCAAGCCGCCGTGGCGCAAGTCGCTGCCTTACTGTGTCGGATCTGGTGTCTTTGTGATTCTCATGTGGTTCTACTTCAGTGAATGTACTCTAGGGAGTGTCTCTGATGCCTGTCACTCCTTAGGCGAAAGGGAACAGATGCTGAATGAGGGTTGGCAGTGGCTTGCTCTTGCGAATAAAGAAGACAATAAAGCCCATAGGCACCATGATGTATACCATCGCGGGCCAGTGTGTGCCAGCTGCCACTTCTTCGCAGGAGCACAGTTTCTCACATGTCACTTGAAATCAGGGCTGGCCTTGGCACTCGAGTGGAAAATGTCTCGGAGCCAACACGGGAGCACTAATTGCTCTTTGAGAATGCAAAGTCTGCAGAACAATTCTTTGCATTGCAGACGTTCTCCAGACTGACTTCCAGGATGGCAAACAACGTTCGCTTCCCAGAGAAGCTCACAGGGACTCAGGTCGCGGCAAAGGCCTTGTCTGCGCGGCATCAATACCGGTGAAGCCTCTACCCACGAAGAGCATGGTGGCCAAGGCAGCGATGGCTTCTTCGAGGACAGGGCCCTCCGCTACCAGTTCGCACCAGGCGGCGGTGCCGGCCAAGGCCTTTTCGTATGGTGGTACAACGACCTCCTCGGCTACCAGTTCGCAGGCAAAGGCGTCAGGTCCGCAGCGAGCGCCCGGACCGGTTCGCAAATGACTCCGGAGCAGCTGATAGGCCAGGGGCGCAGAACGCGCCGTCGCGTTGGAGCAGCACCCCTCGCCGTACTGGAACACGACTACACCGTGCAATGTTCGCTGCCCGGCCTGCTGGTTTAATGGGTGTGGCCGCTGTAACCGCCCAGGATGCGCCATCGCCTCCTGCGCCAGCTTTCGCGGCAACCGCGACCGGAGCCTCCTGGCTCGTCGGCAGGCGACCATCACCACTGCCCGAAGCCTGCGACAACACCAGGGCACGGTGTGCGCAGTCCCTGATCTTCTGGAGATCCAGGTCGGTGAGGCGAACCATCAGGAACTCCAGCTCCTCACCGTCGGCTTCTGCGACCGCATGCAGTGCCGCCCAAAGATCATCGGCTCCTGGGCCCTGCTGCGAACCTTGTGCGACCAAGACATGGCGGCACTGGGAGCTATCGGAAAAACCTTCACTCTCGGACCGCGGAGCTTCGGCTTCACGAACGCTCACAGCGAATAGCAAAAGGTGAACTGCGAACTGTACGAACACTATGGCTACAACACTTCGCCATGCTTGTCACTCTTTACACACGTGCGAACTCCACAACATGTGACCATAGTTTACGGGCCCTTGTTGTTTTTTCGCAAATGCATTTTCATTTCTTCTCATGAGTTTCAGAATGTTCCATACATTTGCAGGTGAGGAGATCCTTTGTTTGTTTCATGTTCGTTCCCCTGATGTAATACCTATAGCTGCTGACACAAAAAATACATAGTTTATCATAATCTTGCTCTTGTTGATAACTTTAGTGCTATACAGAAATATGTTACAACCACTGTTATCGAATGTCGAGGTAGCTACAGTGTTACCCCATTTTGACACGTCTAAAACATCCAATATATATATATACACACATGTTGGTTTTGATGAACGAGTCATCCAAGCAAATGTGGGACA